CAACACCCCCCCCCCACTCCCCCCAGTGCCCTGCGCGGGAAGGTAAATTAGCAATGGCTCATAATACAAATGATGACCGCTCCATTCTAAGTCCTCTTCCCAGTCACATGACGCAAAGTAGAGCATATGCAAGCTTTCCCTATCTTGTTATATATTTCCTTAGTAGATATTAGCCAGCAGAGTTACCTCGTCAATAGAAGAGAATATATATACCTCATGGTTGAACTGTGGAGTCCTTGGGGTTCTCTGAGCTTGCAAACGTTTCATTACCTGGCTAGCACTGAAGATGTTACCTAGCCGGGTAATGAAACATTTGTGAGAAAACAACCAAGCTCAGAGAACCCCAAGGACTCTAGATTTGTCTAGGTTACAGCTGGTTTGCCTTCTGGTTCCTCACCTCCATAGTGGTGCTGAGCAAAAGGAAGAGGCATGGCAGCCATTGTGGTTCCTTGAGTGGAGTTGGTGGCAACAACAGCAGTAATAGCTCCCTTATTTTCTATAGCCACATGGCTGGGCTGCCTGAAAGCAAGACAGCTTTTGCCTTTACTGAAAAAGAACCCGTGCTGAGTCTCCAACTGCAGCAGTTGGGGGAGAGAGAAGATGATGCCAGCTACTATAGCAGCAGATACCATAATAGTTGAGACTATGCAGAGAGGCCAGGTTGAGCCAAGACCTGCCACTTCTACACTGAGAGTGATGACCACCCAGAAGTATCTGGGTAGCTGTAAACTGGCAGTGTAAAGGACTTAGGCACACACCTTCTGAAGTTTATAGAAAAAAAAATTATCATGAACTGGATCATACTGACTAGAAACAATCCATAGAAGCAATTATATGTCAGAGATTGTGTCATGGGAATAAAACCACATTGGAATGGTGCTATTGACATGTAAATATTCTGGATAAAATTAAATTTTCAGTTGGCACAAAACTAGGTCATTCATCATGGTAATCTAAAGCAGAAAAAATTATAATATCACTTTGCTTACCATGGGGGGTGTTGATTTTTAATGACTTGGGCTTAACAATATGAGTTACTGGTATCTTTTGTTACAACTAAGAACTGTTATAGAGAGCCAGTTTGGTGTAGTGGTTAAAGCTTCAGGCTAGAAACCAGGAGACCAAGAGTTTTAGGTCCGCCTTAGGCACAAAGCCAGCTGGTTGATGCTGGGCCAGTCACTCTCTCTCAGCCCTAGGAACGAGGCAATGGTAAACCACCTCTGAAAAACCTTACCGAGAAAACTGCAGGGACTTGTCCAGACCATGTCTGAGAATCAGACACAACTGAACAGATTAAAAAACAAACAAACCTGGCCTTATGCTTATTCTGCACAGCATAAGTAATGGTTTCTAATATGAAAACCACTTTGGCTTTGATGATCTCTCAGCTTGGTGTTTTCCTTGCAGAAGTTCCATTATCTCACTCGTTGTGATGTGGAGGAAAGGAGGTGTGTTGGCTGTTTATATACAGCTGCTTCCCCTCCCAGGTGAGCTTTGTCTCCTATATGACTGATTTTGCTTATCTGGTGTGGACATCTAACCCTAATCCTTTGCCTTTTCTTTGACTTTTGGTTGTTTTTTTTTTAAACTGCTGCTCTGAGAAATTAGCCATTAATAGGCACAGAAAGTCCATTGATAAACATTCAAAG